TGTGAGAGCACTTGACTATAAATGCTGTAAAATTATCAAAGCCATTTAGGAACATATATGCTGTATGTAGTATATATATATATATATGTTAGGAACATATATGCTGTATAACATATATGCTATATGTTATAGCAACAGCATACATTTTGCAGAATAATCCAGAAAGCAAGGAATTGTTAACAGAGGAGCGGGGATGATCTGGTTGGGCCAGTATCATACTGTCAGCTGTTACTGACTTAGGCGATCTTCAGGATGTTAGTACAATTCTCGAATTGGAGATACCGTCTTCTGGGGATGTTAATATCTATCCCATTTATAAAGTTGTAAGAAAAGTCAAGTAATATGTATGAAATTCTTCAAAATTCTGCTTAACACCAAAATATTTTAGGTGTCACTGAAACACTTGGGAGCTCCTTAAAGGAAGGTGCGCTCTGTAATTATGAACGTGCTGTGATGGTGGAGTGTAGACATGTCAGAAACTGTCTTACTAAATGGGGTGCATGTTTTGTGAATGCAGTGTGTCCCCAGTAGGCAGTCCCTTCTCTATAGGTTCACAGTCCAAGATGGCACACCCCAGAAACTGCATGGAAAGGTTCGCAGGCATTCGCACTAGCTGTATCTCAGGTGTGTGGGCCCTCCTTTAACCAGACTTCTCTGGGCAGAGTCTGAACTCAGCAGCCAGTGAAAGCTCCATCTTATTCTATCCGAGCACACTTCCAGTGTTGTTTTCTGGTCCAATCTTGCTTATCCCCATTCAGAGGACCTGCACTTTCAAGCCCCCTTTCTGCTCTCTGCACCAGTGGCCACCTTCCCCTGTCCATACTCTTCTCCTCCTCTTCCTTCCTTGCTGCCTGCTGTCCCACCAAGCATTGTGCCTTGGTTTTTTGACCCCTCACTGTACTCGCCCAAAGAGAAGAGCATCGTGCTAGGGCCAATAATAGAGAGGCACAAACAATGGGAGAGGCGAGAAGGAGCAGTGATTCTGGAAAACGTCCTAATAATAGCATTCATTATCCTTTCTGCAGCCCAGGAGAAGCCTGGTTAGAATGAGAAAGAATCAGTAGAAGAAGTGAGTTCTTGCTGAGCACCTGGTACAGAGGTCACTATTCAAAATTGGGGTGTCTTGGCCCATTAGGACAGCTTTACTTGAACCTTGTAGGCTTTGGGCAAAACACCTCTGAATCTACTAACCTAAGCAGTGGTTTTCTTCCTCTTTCTTTTTTTGTTCCTTTGTCAGTCATGGTAGAGTAAATGTCAGAGCTGGTCCATGAGGAGCAGTTGAAGAGAAGGCATTGAAAACTGGAGGAAAAGATATATTCCACCACTCCCTTCACCCTTGGCAAGGCAGTAAAGGTCACTGCCTCCCCCTCGGTTTCTTCCCCTAGCTGTCTGGTTTCTGTGCCCCCAGTGCTCAGTTGCTGCTTGCTAGGAAATCCTGTCTATGCTATGTGCTGACATCTTATTCATGGCACTACTTCCTTCCATTAGCATGTGTAATTGAGAATAGACTATACCCTTAACTCTGAATTACATAGTTGCAATATAATCGCTTGCTTTATTGATTATCTGAAACAGTTTTTTTTTTAAATTCTGGATTGGCTTCCCTACTCCATGTGAGTCATTTCTCAGTTGGTTTCATTTAACCTCAGTTCCTTTGTGCTGAATGGAACAGTTTAATTTTGCTTAAAATGACCACATGCTCTATACTAAATGCTTTATCTCCTTAATTTTCTAAGCACCTTCACAAGACAGGTACTTACTATATTATTCTCAAGCTATAGATAAGGAAACTGAGGCTTAGAGAGGTTAAATAACATGCCCGAGTCACTCAGCCAAGGAAATGGAATTCATATCTGACTCCCCCATCTGTATAGTTCCCGAATGGATCATTTTAAAGTGAAGGGACTTATATAAGCTTCCCCTTCATGTTATAATTTAAGTATCCACTTTGTACTTTGTGTCCCTTTCTAACAAATGAGACTTGCCATTCCCGACCATAGGCAAAAACCCAGAAAGCCATCTACCACCATTTATCTTCATTTTTTCATTTCTTTACTTGGAGAGCAACAATCAACAGACCACATCCATTTCATGTATAATGTCTGAAAGCCTTTGGGTATTGCTATAAGTAATATGCAAGAAAATAATGAGAAATAAAAATATTGGCATTCCTGCTGAATGATATTATTTCAAATTCATGCATATAGAAATGAAAGTTGTGGGCACCTGACTAATCTGAAAATCCACCCCATTTAATAAGACAGTTTCTGAAATGCCTACACTCCACCATCACAGCACCTTAATAATTATAGAGAGCACCTTCCTTTAAGGAGCTCCCAAGTGCTTTGCAAACATTTTTCCTCATTAACTAGCATACCATTTTTCTGTGGCAGGGCAGGGAAACAGGATACTTTGTCCTATTTTAAATGTGGGACTGCTAATGCATTGAGTGACTAAGCAGGTTGCCCTCAGGTCATTCACTGACAAGGCCAGGACTAGGGTCCTCAGAGATGGTGGGCTACCATCAGCTGAGGACCACTAAATCTGCAAAGAGCCGAGTGGCAAGTGCTTGGTCCAGCTCCTCATTTACAGAAGGCAAAACAAACCCAGAGAGATGAAAACACTTTAAAAAGCCCAGGTCACACGGGAAATTAATAACAGAACCAATACTACACCCTACAGACAACATACACACATATATTAATCCCATGGAGGAAAAAGTAACAACTGTGAACAATCAACAGATTGATCTTGTAGACAGATCAGAAGGGTATGAAAGTAAAAAAAGTCTTATCAGTGACCTTGCCCAGAGCAAAAACACACAGTTAGAAGGTGAAAGTTTGAAACAGCAAGAGGGTTTTAACATATACAAAGTTTCAACATCCTAGCAGCCAAAATACCATCTGGAATTTAAGGCACACTTCCCACTAAAGGTGACAGGTGGACATGTTTTAAAAGATAGTTGGCCAGCCTATCATAGCCTCTATAAATTGTACTGAAAGCACAAGGATGGCAAAGACCAACTGAGTTCCAAGCATGTTTACAGCTGACAGAAATGTTTCAACTAAAAATAATATGCATGACTGTCTCCCTTAGGGAATCTCTCATTTCAAAAAACTACCAATGTAAACAGTAGGCATAGAATGAACTCTTCAGCAAACTGAGATTACTAGCAATGAGGCTTTCCCAACTTTTCCCATTTCAGTCTAAAAGTGAAATCCTTCTCTTCTAACCCTGGGATCCTATATATCATATTGTCCCGTCAGTGTGCTTCAAAACATATTCTTTTTTGTTTGAAAACACAACAACAAAAAACTTTCTGAGGTAAGAAAGTTGTATAAAATGGATCATGAACCTAACACACTTACCACAGAGCCTGGCACACGTAGGAAGCCCTCAGTACTTGGCGACTGTTTTCATTGCTGCTATCACCACGACACCTCAAACCTCTCCTGTTTCATAATGGGAAATAATGGAAACACAGTCAAGGCACATATTTTAAATGAAAATTAACTCAAATTTGTAAATTTCTTGCCTGGATGCATAGTTCCAATGTTGCAATATTACCCTAGGAAGTTTCAGAGGCTTTGGGTTTGAGGCCAGGTTGTGGAAGAGCACCGGGAAGGACTTTCTTCTCTGAGGTGGGTGCCTACATGGGGAATCAGTAATGAGGCCATGGAGATGGGCCGGACACCTGAACAGGATTCATCTCACCTGTCAAGAGCAGAGCTGAGGACAAACAGCACAAACAACGACAAGTCTTTAAGGAATTATCCACAGACATGTCACAGGCTCATGGCCTTGACTTAGAGAGGAATATCTCCTGTGGTCATTCAGTGACTGAGTATTCTTACTTACCTTCTTGTTTCTAACAAACTTAATCATTTGGTTCCTAAGCCAACAACAAAGCATAGCGGTAAACGGAGGAGAAAGAAAGGTTCTGCCAACAGGCTGAAAGCAAAGAAGGAGACAGAAAAACTATTTTAAAAAGTGACCCAAGAGTTCAAAAGGCATATGGAACCATTTAATGGGGGGCGAGGGGCGGAGGGTATAGCCTTGTAATAAGAATGCCATGCATGTGTTCCCACACCATTCTTGGTGGTCTGCAAAATGATTTCACATGTATTTTATGTCAACACCAGCACCGCGAGGTAAGTAGGACTGTGTACCTCAGAGGCATTTGGTGATTTGTCAGAGTGGCATGTGGTGTGTTGGTGCCAAGATTTGAAAAGGACCATTTACCCCTGAGATCACTGTGTTGTCCCTCATCTGCTCAACAGCCACACCTGCTGAGGCCAGTCTGTAGCTCAGTGCAGTCAATACAGAACAGCCAGTTGACTTTCAAGTTACATTTTAGGAAGATTTCTGTCTAAAATAGATAAAATCAAAAGGGTAGCTCTTTCTAACAACTTATTTCTATTTTGGCAAATATTTTCCAGACTTAACAATGTATATAGGCAAGTTGACTAGAAAGAATACTAGAAATGGGGATGTCCCTAAAGAACGAAGCTCTATGACCAATATTCTTAGATCTCTATGATTTTAGAGAACCCCATGTCTCCAAAGATCTTTCTCCTCTCTTGTTTCTTATAATTGTTTGATAACGTTAATGGGAAACACAAAATCCCCTAGTTATATCCCCTAATGATGACACTGAGAATGACTCCCTTAAAAGGCAGCCCTCCCTTTTCTCCACAGAATGACCTTTGAAGACTTTTAGTTGGAGACTATCTGGTAGCTTTCCAAGAGAGCCATTTTCTGACATGGGAAGTGGAAAACTCTAAAGTGTCCTACATCACCATAAAGCAAGGTTTCTCTGCACGAGAGAGGCCAGGAAGGCCTGGAATTTTTCCAGTCAAGGATGATCCATTAAGCAATCAGATTTTATTTTTTTTAATTTTTTTGTTTTTCTTTTTGTTGTCTTGTTTTTCTGTCTCTCATTCTCCCTCCCTTGCTATGTCTCGCTCTGTCCTGCTTGCTGTCTCTTCCCGTATCAACAGGTGAGAAGCCCCACCAATGCAGCATCTGTTGGCGCTCCTTCTCCTTAAAGGATTACCTTATCAAGCACATGGTGACACACACAGGCGTGAGGGCGTACCAGTGTAGCATCTGCAACAAGCGCTTCACCCAGAAGAGCTCCCTCAACGTGCACATGCGCCTCCACCGGGGGGAGAAGTCCTACGAGTGCTACATCTGCAAAAAGAAGTTCTCTCACAAGACCCTCCTGGAGCGACACGTGGCCCTGCACAGCGCCAGCAACGGGACCCCTCCTGCGGGCACACCCCCAGGTGCCCGGGCCGGCCCCCAAGGCGTGGTGGCCTGCACGGAGGGGACCACTTACGTCTGCTCCGTCTGTCCAGCAAAGTTTGACCAAATCGAGCAGTTCAACGACCACATGAGGATGCATGTGTCTGACGGATAAGTAGTATCTTTCTCTCTTTCTTACGAACAAAACAACAACAAAAAAAGAAACAACAAAAAAAGCTATGGCACTAGAATTTAAGAAATGTTTTGGTTTCATTTTTACTTTCTGTTTTTGTTTTTGTTTCATTTCATTTTGTACTACATGAAGAACTGTTTTTTGCCTGCTGGTACATTACATTTCTGGAGGCTTGGGTGAATAATAGTTTTCCCAGTCTCCCTCGGATGGTGGCCTTAAGGCCTGGTAGTGCTTCAAGAGCTCCACTGGTTGGATCTCTAGCTACTGGCCTCTAAATACAACCCTTATTTACAAAAAAATCTTTTAAAAAAAGTAAAAAAAAAAAAAATTTTTTTTCACTTGTGAAGAGCACTACAAAAATATATAACAAAATCTAAAAGGCCTACTGTCTTTAAGTACACCGCTTGCAGTGTTTCAGTGGACATTTTCACAATTCTGGCCGCTCGGACTTCACAGTAACCAGTTAAAACTGTGGAATATCACTTCTGGTTGAAAACCCAGAGGAAAGGCCCTGCTGTTTTCCACCTACCACATTGTCTGATTTCACAAAAGGGCTGTGGGGGCGGGAAGGGGCAGTGGGTTTGGTGGTGTGGGAAAGAAAGGCAAATGGCAGGCTTCTCCCCCAGATTCTGCCCGGGCCCACACCCCGGCCCACCTCCTCCTATTCCCCCCTTTCAGCAGAAGCCAGGAAGACTTGGACAAGCAACAAGCAACAGTGGCTATCGCTATCGTATTTATTCAGTGTCTTCGCTGAGCCACAGCCTCAGCACAATCAAGAGGGACTTTCATGAAAGGCAGGAATGCAGAAAAAAACAAAGATATCAGAAATTTGCACCTATGTTTCTAGGTACAAGAGAAGGATTATTTCCAACAATCTTTGCAAAACAAAGTGTCAGGATATATTCTTGTGGAAGAGAAAAAGAAAGAGAAATGGAGGGTGGGGGGAACAATAAAAAGTTCTTGAGGCTTTTCTAATTCAAAATTTTATAGAGGGGCAAAAGTGACGTTTACCAGATAGAATGCTGATTTTTTAAATATATTTACAACAGTATTTGTGTAAAAAAAAAACAAAAAAAAAGTGAAATTGTTAAAAGTAATTTTTTTTTTCATTTTGGTTATGCATACACTGCCACCAATCCCTTCTCTTTTATTTTATTTCACACACATATATATATTTTTTGGTAAGTCAAGACTGTTAAGGTTAGCGATACTGCTTCCAGATAGAAAGAATAAAAGGCAACTAAAGTTATATTTGAAAGAGAGGAAGGATATTTTCTTCATATTTTTTTTAATTTTTCTTAATTTTTATTATTTTAAGTATTGCCTGGGTTGATGAGGGCCTCTGTGGCCAGCCCATCCCTGCTGTAATTTGAATTGCTGCTTTGTATTTTGATATGTAGTTCTTTGACTTTTAGCAAGCTTAAGTTGCTCCACTGAATATTTTTTTCAACTGATCCGTCTAGAATTCTGTTCTTTTTCATGGGAGGGACTTTATCTTTCAGAAACAGCTTTCTTCTCCAAAATTTCATTGAGATCTTATGATTCTAGAATTTCTATTGACTTTCCTTTTTTTTTTTTCCTTATGATGAAAACACTAGTAGTCTAGAGGTCTTGACAAATGGGTTCTTTTCTTTTGTGGTCAGCTAGGAGGGGGAGTTCACAAAACTCTGCAGTACCCTCCTCACCCTTCACAACTACAAAGAGCATCATTAGGAGGAGCCTGTTACAGATCAAGATACGTTGATGCCAAAATTACTTTTTTCCTTTGAAATGTCACCTTCTATTTTCCCCAGGGTTAAGAGGGCTAAATAAGATGATAATTCTTTAGATGATTTATTAACCTTTGTATTGTGGAAAGATTTTAGGGAAATTAACAACATTTCCAGATGCCAACATCCACCACCAAAAAGGCCACCAATCTATTGCATCATACCAGATGCCACTCTCTCTTCCTAGTTGGGATTTCTCTCCTCGGTCCTGATCAAGGTATTATAATAGAGATTTTTCCATTATAGACAGTGTCCTGAAGGGATTCCAACTAAAATGTAGGAATTCTTAAACCTAACTAAAAATCCAAAAGTGATTTAATTGCTGGGCATATTTTAACTCGAAGGGAAAAGTAAATCCTTAAACAAAGCAGAAACACCAAACTGCAATTTTAGAAAGAAGAAAAGAGAGCGTATTTTAGTTTCAAAATTACTTTTCATTTTAATTTAATTTTCCTTCTAATTTTCCTGTCAGCAATTTATTTACAAAAACTATGCAGCAAATGAGGGAAAATCTTCCAAGGCAAGCAATTCTGTAATGACTAAATTGGTTTTATTCATATATTTTAGACATTTGGTTAACTTGGATCTTTTTCATAAGTTCTTTGTGATATTTAATAGGGTTAGTGCAACTGGAGTGTTTGTGAGTTTGATTTGGTCCTATGGTGCTTAATTCAGTGGATATTTTGCTAGACGTTTTTATGTAGACCTGATGGTTGATTGACTATTGAGTACTACCCATCATGCTTTCTAAAGGAGTCCTACCAAGAACTGTGTGTCCAAAACTGACCTGTTGTAAAAGTTAGTGAGAAACAGCTTCAGAAATAGGAAACATTCATTTTTCTATTGCTAATTTTGCTTTTTAAAATATCAGTAACTCTAATATTTCCACTTACCACCAATAGAGGGAGCATTAGTTAATTGACCGTGTCATGGAATTGTTTTGATAGTTTGAAAAACAAGTCATTCCACCCATAAAATAAAATTTAAAAATTGACATTAAGAAAAAAAATTTTAATCTAGAGGAGGTTGACATGAAATCATTCAACATGTTACATGTGAAACAAGGCCAAAAGCCACTTTAAAATATTTCTAACTATTTGACAGTAGTAGATTTAAAACAGTGTCTTTATTTAAACCTTAGCAAAATAAGAAAAATTTTCGTAATACTTCCAGAAAAGTTGATCTTGAGTGCCATTATGGGCCACATTTAGCTATCTGCTGCTCAAATCTGAGGGAGACCCATTTGCCTTAATGCAGATTTGCCATGTAAAAAGCTAAGCAATTGGGTTAAAATCCACCTTTTTTTATTTTCTGAATATGTAGAAAGCCACAGGTGATTTGAAACCCTGTTGATTATCCTTTCCCTGTAAAGGAAGTTATCTTTAAAAAAAATTTGGTGGTTTCCTAAAGAATTCTTGGTGAGGTGATATAATTATTACAGTCCATGACAAAACAGACTGTCCAGATTTGCATAGCAGTAGACTTATTCCTACTGTTTGTCTATACCTCCCAAACATCTCACAGCCTAAAATTTTGACAAATTGTTTTGTGCAGAGATGAAGAAACTAGATTGGAATAGGAACAAGAAGTTGCCATGGGGCCATTGCTATCTGCCTAGCCTCTCAAAGGGCTGCTTTCCAAACTGACCCACATTTTAGAAAAGAAACCAGTCTGTACCTATTTGGAAAAGATAGAGATGCTTTTAGATTGCCAGTCCTCACTTTTAAATTGAACAATCACAAACATCTTAGGAAATAGGAAAACATATTTTGCTTCAAGATCAGAGAATGAATGGGGATCTTTTTCATTTTTTGATTTCAAATCTTACAATCTTCTTACATGTAGACCTCATGCTAGGATGATATCAGTGCTAAAAATTTTTTTCCTTTTAGTATCCAGGAAAGAGATAGATGAAATGAAAGCAAATATTGCAGATTTAAGACCTTTTAGGGTGAATACAGGGAACAAGAACTGGTATGGAAAAAAACCTTTTTTTTTCTTTTAGCAATTTGTGATATAAAAACAGAATTTTCTAAACAAAGGAAAGGAAAAATGTCAAAGGGGAATGTGTATCTCAATATATTTAGATATAGTTTATAAAAAATAAAATTTCCTAGCACTAGAAATGTTAGTAGTATCTCAGCAAAGTAGGCAATTTTTCCCTATTAAATGCCAACATTTGTACAAAAAAGAGCCCCCAAATGTGTAAAATATAATCCCAAAAAAGAAAGGAATTAGAACACATGGATCTGATACAGATCTACACATGGAGAAAGGTTGAGGAACAAACAAGGCAACAAAAGAAAAAGTCTGAAATGAGAGTCTCTGTATCAGATTTTTTTTACTATATATTTTAATTGAATTGTAAACTTTAGCTCTTAAGAACAGTTTTATAGACTTTTCACTTCCCAGAGTCCTAACACGTTGAATCTATTTGTGCCATGATTAAGCATAGCTGATAATTTCCTCCTATGTTCCAGCCACAGTCCATTCCTGGCCATCTTAAAGGTTGCAGTAGCTCTTGGCCTTGAAAAGACTTGGGTTTGCTTTGTTTAAAAGTCATAAGGATTTTATTTTGTATCATACAATATTCTCCAAGAAAACCCTTTCCAATTCATGAACAGTGTGCATTCTGGTAATGAAAAGAGAAAAGTTTTCCTCTGACTGTGTTTGTTTCACATTCAGTCCTTGATGCCTTGACCTGTGTGTATTTCCATCACACAAGCATCCCAGCAGTATGTGCCCTGCCCATGCCCAAAATTCAGTGTTTTTTCTTCATACAGAAGTGAAAAATTAGATATGTCCCTAGTAAAACCCCTCAGATCCCCAGAAAAACACAATAAAGGCTCATGTTGCTTCCTTTTGGGGGGACTCCTCCACAATGCTCCCAACACCTATTGCCTTTAGGAGAGGACACAGTGAGACAGATCTGGCTGGGATTCACACTAGATATGCCCCTTCTGGAGCCTTCCTCTGTTCTTCTAGAAGATTTTATTTGATTAGTTGGGGCTGGGGACAGGAGATATATGATTCTGCAGAAAAGGTGTCAGATAATCAAATCAGGTCTGCCTCTGCTAGAGCCAGTGTGCTGCTGCAGCAAAAGGGAACAAAAGGAAGGTGCAATGTAAGAGCAGACCTAACCTGAGACGCCCTTGGGATTTAGGAGAATAGGAGGGTGCCCTTTCTGTTGTGACCTGACTCTCAAAAGAAATCTTCTAAAAGAATTCTTTAATTGAGTAATGAGTGGAAGTCAGGAGTAATGGAAGCTCTGAAGGAAAGAACAAAAGAATTGCAAAATGTATTAAGCACCAAACAATGCTAAACCAAGAAATATCCAATGGCAAAACTAGGAAGTTTGGCAAGAGGTATTTAGAGAAATCTCTGGGCTTTTCCATGAGTAGGGTTGACAGACTTTCTTTTGAGTGCTTTCTGGCTCTGAGAAACCTCTTTACTCGCTAGAAAAGAACTTTATTTAAATGCCCAATTTTGTCCCCCAGAAAAAGAAATTAAAAAAAAGAAAAAGAAGACACTAAAGACAGAACCATGTGACTTGGTGACAAATAAAAGGAAGGGTGCACTAGAATTTCAATAGGCTCCCTAATGCCACAGCAAAAGCAAAGCAACCCAATGCCTCTCAAGCCTGCAGTGCATGAAGAGAGAGTGCTTGAGCTGACCCAGCCACCGGGCTTTCTGAGGCTAGACATAACTTTCCAACTGGAACAGCAGCAGCCTCTTTCTCCTCTTTGTGTTTTCATGAAGAAAATGGCTGTTCTCTGAGGTACCTAGGAAATAGATTACATGGGGCAGACTTTCAAAAGCAATCTCTGCTCTGGTGCTCAGGCTGCTCATGGAGGCAGAAAGGGGGCACAGAAGAGCTCTTGCTCTTGAGAGAGTATTTTCATATTCCCAAGGGTTTTCTGTGTAGAGTTGCTATTTCTGACACCACTTAAACCTTCACGAGAAGAAAGGCTGTGGTGGTGACTCATGTTCCTGTAAACACAGAATGTGGAAATTACTAATCCAAAGTATCATCTCTAGCACTGGATATCGAGATGATCAGTTCGACCAAAATACCCCAGGATTCTTCTAAGTCTCTGAAGATTTTTTTTTTCTTCTTGAA